TTTGAATAGGTTTTTGAACTTCTCATGGCTTTATAATTGCAATAAGGACGCTAATAACCGTGAACTACAGCTTCGTGCAAAAATCTTCGCGAATGCTCATGAAATTGGTCATTCCACGCCTTGCACCCGTGTCGAGCGGTCGTCTTTGCCCCCTCTGCCGTCTGTACGGATTTCCGAGACTTACCTACTGTTTTTTCAATATTTCCCGTATTTGCGCTTCTACTACTCCCTCGTTTTACCAGTCGGGGCCCTGCTATCCCTTCCAAGGCAATTCTTCCTCCCACAATTTTTTATTTCCTGAATCCCGCGCTGCTTAGTTGAACGCACACCTCAGAAATCTATTGATTCGCTATTTACATCGATGATCTCCATGACGTCCCCATTCCGATCCTCTTCTGCGCCTGCAAAAAGGGGTTGTTTTGGAGCCTCTTTTCCGGTACCAGATCCTACTGAGCGTCTACGAGCAATAACTGCTGATGAAGCCATTCCTAGCTATCTGAAACTGATGGTCGACATATTGTTGGAAACAAAGCGAGAGATCGCTGATTTCAATCAGAAAATGAGCGCAATCATCAAGGAAAATGTGGAACTCAAAGAAGAGAACCGTAAGATGAAAATGGAATCTTCATCTTCTTAAAGTGATAATGAGATGAAGCGCTCAATGCGAGCGTTCCTGAGTCCACTTATCCTCTTCCCTCTCAAAAAGTGCCTTGATTACAATTGCACGCTTGCTCTTTTGGATTTTCTGAATGTTGAATGTCTCCCTTCCCCCTTGTCTCCCGAAAAAATTCCCAGATGCCTCGCCTTTTGAAAGTAGTTCTGCCTGCTAGTGTCTTCCAAAAGCAGATGGTTACTCGAGCCCCTCGGCTGAGGTGTTTTTCTGATAAAGGAGTCTATATCCGTCCTTCCTTACCGAAGGAGGTAAGAGACCGAAACAGAGAAGAACGTCAGTCAAAAGCCTTCAATGCATCTACCAAATCTAAGGAACATCATAGCTTATCTGCTGTTTCTCCTACTGTCCCACTATCACAAAATGACAATTCTA